CGGGCCCAGAAGTTGTCCACAGTGTTGTTTCAGTGTCTCTCTTCAAAGAAAGAGACCCTCAGACGGACAGGGCTGCGTGGCGGACGCTGTCATCTACTCTATCCGGGACAACGGCGTGTTGGTGTTTGTCCCAGAGTAAGAAACGAGCCGCCGACTTAACGATAGATTAGATTTGTTCACTTTTGTTGGATGAGAATGACACTTTATTTTTCTATTGTCATCAAGTTCCACGAAAAGACCAAAACCAACAACGCGTGTTAGTTCGTCTCTCAGTACTTTCTCTTCCTGTCTGTGGCTCACCTCCAGGCATGGTTCCTTCTGAAGACATAAATCTTTCAGCTCAAGTAGATAGTTTCAATGAGAAAAAGCTGCTCACTGTAGTTGTTCTCAAACAGGAGGAAATAGTGCTGCTGTTGGGGACTATTTTCAGCAGCGGATGTGGAGTTCTAGTGAGTATTTGGGGACTGAGTCAGAATAAACTCTAATAGTTTACTGTACTAATGAAGCTCTCTGGCTCAGATGAAGAAGAGACATCAGGACACGAGACCGTACACTGTTGGTCTTTTCATGGGATGTGTACAGTAAGCAAGTATTGAGTAAGATATGATATTTTATGGTGAGTGGGAAATTAACGATCATTTATGATACTGTAAAATGATTTGGTGCTTTTCAGTAACACTTACAATATACTCACTAAGAACGTTGTGACATCTAAAAGTTTAGTTTTAAACTGGTCTAATCTATCTGATTTAGATGCATCTACAAATCTATATAACCGTTGTCTCATTGCGTTTTCACATCTTCGTACCTCATCATTTAAATACTCTTAAAAACACTTAAGAGATCATTTGACCGGCAAATCACCAAATCGAGGCTTTCTGGGATGGTGTGGTTTTTAATAAGCACTAACCCTGAAGAGACCACTCTGCATGACTGTATTCATCTGTGGTGGAACAAAATAACTGAAAATAAGATGTGCAATCTTGAATTTAAAAATCCATTAGTCAACCTAACATTTTGGAAACATTCTTTGGGTTTTTGGCAAATTACACTTAAAATTGCCCAAAAAGAACATTTTTAATTGAAAGTACTGCTGTGTAGTAGTGACGGTCAGTGTATAAAATGGTCCAATCTGGCAGTTCTGACTACACCTGTCCTCGTTCCAGGTATGGTGCGAAAGGGCCGGTGTATATGAAGGATCGCGAGGGCCAGGTGGTGGCTGCAGGACGGGACGGCAGCTGTGAGTGGCAGAGCGGCTCCGTGCGACGATACCCAGACCACATCACCACCACCTCCAGCTGCGGGACCTCCACCTTCAGAGTGTTTGACCACATCACCGTGAGTCGCAGAACAGATTTATTATTTACTGGACACACTGACTTTAAGTGGAATCATACGGTGACGATATTGTTTTGTCGTTTAAGGAACGCTGTGCAGTTGTCTTTTTTTACCTCTATCCGTGACTTTTAACAAACGTGTCAAATTAATTTCCTTCCACATAAAAATTCTACAGAGTTGATTTTTTTTTAAATATACGCTCACCTAAAGGATTATTAGGAACACCTGTTCAATTTCTCATTAATGCAATTATCTAATCAACCAATCACATGGCAGTTGCTTCAATGCATTTAGGGTCCTGGTCAGGACAATCTCCTGAACTCCAAACTGAATGTCAGAATGGGAAAGAAAGCTGATTTAAGCAATTTTGAGCATGGTTGTTGGTGCCAGACGGGCCGGTCTGAGTATTTCACAATCTGCTCAGTTACTGGGATTTTCACGCACAACCATTTCTAGGGTTTACAAAGAATGGTGTGAAAAGGGAAAAACATCCAGTATGCGGCAGTCCTGTGGGCGAAAATGCCTCGTTGATGCTAGAGGTCAGAGGAGAATGGGCCGACTGATTCAAGCTGATAGAAGAGCAACTTTGACTGAAATAACCACTCGTTACAACCGAGGTATGCGGCAAAGCATTTGTGAAGCTACAACAGCAGAAGACCCCACCGGGTACCACTCATCTCCACTACAAATAGGAAAAAGAGGCTACAATTTGCAAGAGCTCACCAAAATTGGACAGTTGAAGACTGGAAAAATGTTGCCCGGTCTGATGAGTCTCGATTTCTGTTGAGACATTCAGATGGTAGAGTCAGAATTTGGCGTAAACAGAATGAGAACATGGATCCATCGCCTTGTTACCACTGTGCAGGCTGCTGGTGGTGGTGTAATGGTGTGGGGGATGTTTTCTTGGCACACTTTAGGCCCCTTAGTGCCAATTGGGCATCGTTTAAATGCCACGGCCTACCTGAGCATTGTTTCTGACCATGTCCATCCCTTTATGGCCACCATGTACCCATCCTCTGATGGCTACTTCCAGCAGGATAATGCACCATGTCACAAAGCTCCAATCATTTCAAATTGGTTTCTTGAACATGACAATGAGTTCACTGTACTAAAATGGCCCCCACAGTCGCCAGATCTCAACCCAATAGAGCATCTTTGGGATGTGGTGGAACGGGAGCTTCGTGCCCTGGATGTGCATCCCACAAATCTCCATCAACTGCAAGATGCTATCCATCAATATGGGCCAACATTTCTAAAGAATGCTTTCAGCACCTTGTTGAATCAATGCCACGTAGAATTAAGGCAGTTCTGAAGGCGAAAGGGGGTCAAACACAGTATTAGTATGGTGTTCCTAATAATCCTTTAGGTGAGTGTATATATATATATATATATATCTTAAATCCTGCTTTGCTTACATACAGTGAGGAAAATAAGTATTTGAACACCCTGCTATTTTGCAAGTTCTCCCACTTAGAAATCATGGAGGGGTCTGAAATTGTCATCGTAGGTGCATGTCCACTGTGAGAGACATAATCTAAAAAAAAAAATCCAGAAATCACAATGTATGATTTTTTTTACTATTTATTTGTATGATACAGCTGCAAATAAGTATTTGAACACCTGTCTATCAGCTAGAATTCTGACTCTCAAAGACCTGTTAGTCTGCCTTCAAAATGTCCACCTCCACTCCATTTATTATCCTAAATTAGATGCACCTGTTTGAGGTCGTTAGCTGCATAAAGACACCTGTCCACCCCATACAATCAGTAAGAATCCAACTACTAACATGGCCAAGACCAAAGAGCTGTCCAAAGACACTAGAGACAAAATTGTACACCTCCACAAGGCTGGAAAGGGCTACGGGGAAATTGCCAAGCAGCTTGGTGAAAAAAGGTCCACTGTTGGAGCAATCATTAGAAAATGGAAGAAGCTAAACATGACTGTCAATCTCCCTCGGACTGGGGCTCCATGCAAGATCTCACCTCGTGGGGTCTCAATGATCCTAAGAAAGGTGAGAAATCAGCCCAGAACTACACGGGAGGAGCTGGTCAATGACCTGAAAAGAGCTGGGACCACCGTTTCCAAGGTTACTGTTGGTAAAACACTAAGACGTCATGGTTTGAAATCACGCATGGCACGGAAGGTTCCCCTGCTTAAACCAGCACATGTCAAGGCCCGTCTTCAGTTTGCCAATGACCATTTGGATGATCCAGAGGAGTCATGGGAGAAAGTCATGTGGTCAGATGAGACCAAAATAGAACTTTTTGGTCATAATTCCACTAACCGTGTTTGGAGGAAGAAGAATGATGAGTACCATCCCAAGAACACCATCCCTACTGTGAAGCATGGGGGTGGTAGCATCATGCTTTGGGGGTGTTTTTCTGCACATGGGACAGGGCGACTGCACTGTATTAAGGAGAGGATGACCCCATGTATTGCAGATTTTGGGGAACAACCTCCTTCCCTCAGTTAGAGCATTGAAGATGGGTCGAGGCCGGGTCTTCCAACATGACAATGACCCGAAGCATACAGCCAGGAGAACCAAGGAGTGGCTCTGTAAGAAGCATATCAAGGTTCTGGCGTGGCCTAGCCAGTCTCCAGACCTAAACCCAATAGAGAATCTTTGGAGGGAGCTCAAACTCCGTGTTTCTCAGCGACAGCCCAGAAACCTGACTGATCTAGAGAAGATCTGTGTGGAGGAGTGGGCCAAAATCCCTCCTGCAGTGCAAACCTGGTGAAAAACTACAGGAAACGTTTGACCTCAACAAAGGCTACTGTACCAAATATTAACATTGATTTTCTCAGGTGTTCAAATACTTATTTGCAGCTGTATCATACAAATAAATAGTTAAAAAATCATACATTGTGATTTCTGGATTTTTTTTTAGATTATGTCTCTCACAGTGGACATGCACCTACGATGACAATTTCAGACCCCTCCATGATTTCTAAGTGGGAGAACTTGCAAAATAGCAGGGTGTTCAAATACTTATTTTCCTCACTGTACGTGTTTACTTGCTAGCAGTGTTCCTCTTCACTGCTACAGTTCTTGGTTCACTACCCGCCACCAACTGTCATTCAGCAGAATAGCTAAACTGGCGGCGGTGAATTGCATCGCCCTGTGATTGGCTGAGTCCTTGTACATGTTAGAAATAAAATAAACATTACTCCATAGTGCTAGTAATGGTCACAAACACCACTGGGTATCTTTTAATAATTAAATTAATTTAAAAAAAGTTGAGGTTTGGTTGTTTTATGATAAATATTCCTACCAGTATCAGGACATTTCCTGAATGAGTTAGTTTTTCCCAGATGTAGATATGTTGATGTCCTGGTTTCCTTAACGTGTTATTCATTTTCACAGATAATATTGAGGAATTTTGTGACAGTTTGAGTCCTCTGCTCCCCACAGGTTCGTATTTCTGTCCGCTCGACGCATTGCCACGCAGACAGCCTAAACCTCGAGGTCATCAGCAGCAAGCCCCACCGCAGCGCAGAGCCCCAGCAGACCCGGTCCCAGGGCCGCAGCCAGCTGGTCCAGGAGGTGGTGCGTCTGGCCGAGGAGGCGCACCAGCAGGCCCAGGAGAAGGCGGCCCGGCGCCCCAAACTCTCCAAAGAGGAGAGAGAGTTCTGTCAGAGCAAAACTCCCAATCTGTACTCGCTCCTGGAGGAGGTGAGAGAGCTGGCTCTGATGGACCTGGAAGTGGTCGCACAGGTCTGTGCAACGACGGCATAGAGCGGCCGCAACCTGGGCTCAGCTGTAAAGGAAGCGAGGGACTCTGGAAACATATCATGGATGACTTCTGTATACGTCTCATAGGTATATCAGTTTACATCCATGAACAAATAACATTAAAGCCAAGCGGGCGTTTGTCTTTCACAAAAGGACATTTTTATGAATCATGATGGCAGATTTCTAGTTATTTATTATCTGAGAATTATCTTTCTGTCATTTGAAGAACAAATGCTCGACAGTGAGATGTGTAAATGAGGTCTTTAATGATATTAAATGAGAGAAATATGATGATTTTTGTGGACGTTTTCGTTACGTTGGTCCCAATAAAACAACCCCAGATTAAAATTTTATGTAAATAGAGAAGAACTGTTGGTTGAAGTAGACATTAAATGAAGCACTGACTTTTGATGACACTTTATAGATACTGATACAAATAAGCATAAACTAATGTTTAACATCTAGAGTTAATGAAGCACCAAAATGATAATTGGATTTATATATTTTTCAAAACCATTGATAACAAAGTTCTTCACTGTTCACAGTGTGTAGCATAATGTAGAGCCTGATATTTGAGAGTTGGGTAATCCAATAATGATATATGGGCCAATATTTGTTCAGTATTACAAAGCACAGTATACACTATGTATTCATTTGTGTAACATAATGTTGTAGCTGTTCGTTTAAATTAAATTTCCATTTAAACACAGCTGCCAATTTCAGATTTAGAAATTTAAAAACAGAAAACAGGATGTTTCTCCAAAGATAAAATTTTAAGTTTTAATCTTTAAACTAATTGGCTTCTTATTTTTACTGAATTGATGGACCGGTGTCCAAACGCACGCTCAAGTCTGTTTTCAGTAAACCTACCGGCTAATTTTCTACACACAAGTGTTAAGTGAAATCCCGGTCAGAGTGACTGCATGGTGTCGACCTGTAAGCTTCAGCCTCCTCCTGTGGTCATCATATCAGCTGATCTCGAGCATCAGCACTGTGACCACAAACACATAGTACTACCCTTTAATAGGAAGCGGGTGCGAGTTGCTCAGGTAGGCGCTGCAGTAATCATTGACTTGTAATCTAATTGGTGCTCGTGCTTTTTTGTATGAAGGGTAAAGTGTTTCCACAGAATCTATTTTTGTAAAATGGTTTATTGTGGCTTTTAATTAAACCTGTATGGATGAACACTGAAGTCTTGTGTAAGTCTGAAGCCCTTTATTTCAGGTACAGTATTTAGTTATTACAACATTTGACCTGCTGTCTGTTGGATCAGACCACACAGGCCAACATGTCGCCGGTTCACGGCGGTTCACGTACTGACCCGGTCGTCTAGCCATCACACAGTTTGGCCCTTGTCAGTCACTCAAATCCTACTTCTAACACATCAAGTTTCAGGACAAAATCTTCACTTGCTGCCAAATATATCCCGCCCACCGACAAATGCCTTTTTAACGAGATAATCAGTGTTATTCACGTCATACTGTTACGGCTGATCGGTGTACATCTGATGCTGTACTGTATGTGAAGGTGAGATCATAGAAGTGTCGTTATACTTAGTATAGATTCAATATTACAAGGAAATGTTTATTGTTTGGCATTTAAAAACCGGTAAGGACGCCAACTATGCCGTGATTTATCAAAGATAAAAACACACAGCTCGGGTCGCGCAGTTTTACAGACGTTACCTGCAGTGACTTTTCATGCTGCACTGATTTGTTTTACTACATGAAAAAACTGCAGGCAGGCTTGTTTGAATGAAAAAAGAAGAGCTATTTGTTTAGTTTTTAATATTAAGGATCAACAGACTATTTAAGGAACAGCTAGTACAGTTCAACAATAAATGAAATTTGTGAAACCAAATAAAACGCAGCCAATGATAAAATCTGAAAGAGACTGATGGAAACAGATGTGGGATCAGTGCTTAATTATACGTATTTCAGACAGGAACAAGGGGAACAGGAATTCAGAAACAAAGTTGGCTTAGCTCTCTGCAGACTACAAGAATACCACTTGTGCACTAATTTGATTCACTGCCAAAAGATTTTGGCCGTACAGTTAGCAGCTCCTGAACTCAACGAGTGTGTGCTGCACTTAATCCCCGTCCTCACACTCGTTGCTGGGTTCAAGGTTGGTTTCATCCTCTTTCTCACGCTGAGGTGATTCATCAGAAGGTTCAGAGTCTTTGTGTGGAAGCCGGCCAGGTTGTTGTGCGCTGCTGCTGCTGCAGGCTGACTCCTGGTCTAAATCCTCCACCTCCACATCCTGATCTTTGGAGTTGTTTAAGACATTGGCAGAGGAGACGGATGTGGGTTCATCTGCTGACGTGGACGAGTCAACAGTCTGGGAGTCTGAAGGATCTAGTGGGCGGCAGGAGGAATTGTGCACATGGACATCAAAAATGTGTTCCATTTAACTACTTTCCACTCATCAAAACTGAAGAGGTGCGTTCTTGGATTACTATAATGTACAGACTGGTCTGAAGGGGATGCATTCATTAAAGATTATCGGGAGCCACAACATGATTTTTGATTTATCTTAATGCTTCTTCTTTGCAACTGGCTGAGATATGCCTGCATCATTCGATTATTTTTACTGTGTCTCAAATCCGGACAAATCTTATATTTGCTTCACAGAACTGATGAAGGGCCTCTCACCTGTTTGCTGCTGCTGCTGCTGGCGGGCGAGTTTTCTCTCCAGGGCCCGCTGTCTGTTCAGCTCCATGCGCTTACGCTGCTCCTCAGTCAGGGAGGGGGCAGCGGGGAGGTAGAGGGTGGGGCAGCTGGAGCCGGGGTAGAGTGGACCGGCCTTTGCACGTCATCAGGGAAGATTGCTCTGCTAAACGGCTCTGGATCCTCAAAGACTTGCGACTCAGGAGCTGCCTCTTCTTCACCTAAACCCAAAAATGTTTCACAGACCCGTGAATTCAGAGAGAAAACACTCACTTTCACATAAATATTTTTATGCGGCCTCACACTGGCAGATGTTATTGATTTGGGGGAGGTTCCACGTTTCACTCTCCAGTTCTTTCAGCAAAGCCAACCTCTTGAGACAGACCCTTGTACAGTACACCACCACATGGTGCTAATGTGAGGTTTCAGCTGATGCTCATCCACTCGTGAAGTTTAAAAACTAACAAAAAACCAATGAGCTGAACAGAATAAACCCAAGGAAACCAAATGATACCATCTCGGACGTTTGGCTGGTGCAGCAGATGATTTTATGCAACAAAAGTCAATTTAGCCAGAAACATTCAGGTGATCATTTTGAATTTTAGATAAATTTTGAATGCAGCACAATAAATAGTGTGTTAAATATCTTTACCCATATGATCTTCGTGCGTCAGTGGCATGTCCAGTCGAATCCGTTTGAGACACGTCTGCCACAGAAACAAAAAGAAAAGGCATTTAATTACAAATACTGCACTGTGAAAACAATAAGTACATTTCATTGACATATTCAGCGTCAACGTCTTCATCCCACCTGCACTTCCTTCTTGTTGCCGAGCTTCTCCACTCTGTCAATAAAATCTTCAAACTGCAGTTTGGGGTATAACCGGTGGGCCCAGTTCTCCATCTTCTGCATCAGCAGGCGCAGGTCCTCAGCCTGGTTGGACAAAACACACAAACACCACAAAACGTTGGCTAAATGTACATATGATGAAGTACGGCCAAGATTAAATGCTCCACAAGCGTCTGCGTCGTTTGGTGCTGTTCATTTGTCTGTTGTCAAGCTCTTACCTCGTGCCCTTTGCCTTTGAAATGGACATCATCAAACAGCGTTCGCAGAGCTGGAAGTCCTCTTTCTGAGATCAGCCTGAAGAAAGTAGTGTCACATGTATATTTAGTCACTTGGGGGAAAGTTCACAGTTCATAAAGTAGTTAGACCTTTTCCACTGACAACAGCTGACTTGCGTTGCCTTTCCCAACAATAAAAGTGTATTATTTTCATGCTTTGTGGCATCCTGGTGTATAGATGGCATTAGCCAACAACTCAATGTACTTTTTAAATCTGCATTTGAATAAATTTAAATCCTCTGCCGTGATGTTACGATCCCGATGTTTGAGGTACCTGTGCGAGTCTAGCTTGGGCTGTGGCCTCCTCACTCCTTTTCTTTTAGCAGCAGGGACCTCAGCCAACTTGGACACCTCGCCGTCTTCATCCTCTGCATTTACCACACCACATGACAACAGGGCAGGTGGTCAACATCACAGAAAACTTTCAGCAGGGCAGACTAGGAGTCAGCACTTACCATAATTCAATAATTCTCTCCAATTTCTAGGTATAAACTGGCTTAAAATGTTGACTGTTCTCTTTCTGTAGGATTTTGACAGCGGCCTACATGCAGCTTCTCACCATTTCCAAAAGGGTCTCCGTCCTCTTGTCCTCCCTGGCCCGGGGAGTGAGGTGGTGGGAGGGGAGGGAAAGCTTCATCCTTTAGGCCATCAAATGGATCCAGCATCGTGTGTAACTCCTGGATTAAGTATTAAATTGACACTCATTTTTACTTCAATCTGGCTGCATGCAGAACTAGACGTGCTGTTTTTCTAGGACTATTGCGTTTACTGCAGTACAACCATGAAAACAGCCACAGATGAACTCATGACTCATCACTAACATGATTAATTTTGGTTTTAAAAATCAGTGCCAGTATATCTGAGTGGTACATTTAGCTAATACTTTTATCTAAAGCGACTTACAAGTGATCAGAGTCAGAGGTCACATGCCCCTGGAGCAACAAGGGGTTAAGCGGTGTCTTATCCACTGTAGCATTGTGTTGTTTTGCAACAAACATATGAAATTATGATATGGACCGATTGGAAAAGTAACAAAAAATACTGTTATCCTTTATACCTCGAAAAGCTGTACTTATTCACACTTCACTACATTTCTTGACAGATTCATATTACATAATAATATGCATTATATATTTAATATATATAATTGTCTTATGAAATGGCCATGCATTGTTATGCATCTAATTATCCACCTGTTTACAAAGCTGTAATAGCAGCTTCACCTCAACTAACTACAACATTAAAAATACTCCTTATATGTTATGTAGATGTGTACAGTACCTCCATACAAGGGTTAGTACGAATATTGGTCCCCGATATCAAATCTCGCTCTCCCGGCGTGACCTGTATCGGCCATGAAAACACAAATATCGGTCGACCACCGCGTCATCCACGTGAAGGCGGCAAACTCAAGCTTAGCCAAAACACTAAAACCCGTCAGTCTCCTGAATTTCACTGCCACACGGGAGGACAGGAGGATCTGGGACAGCCAGGGTCAACAGGACACTCGCGTCTTCGTCTGAACATAACTTTATTTCTGAGTTAGGTTTGTTTGTAAGAGAGTAAACAACGCGCTGCTAAGCTAACGTTAACTACGAGCGGCTGCGACACTGTGGGTAAGTTAGTAAGCTAACATGAGAGCTAACTTAACAGCCGTCGGCGAAACTGTAAAGCACAATGTGTCAGCTTAAAACATAAGTCACAGACATTATAATATCTTATAAAATACGACACTGTATTAAAGGGAAATGTCACAGTATTGTCTTACCAGTTACGAGGTGTCCGGCGGAGAAACCGCTAGCAGTGCAAAGCTAGCAACATTTACTTCCGGTACGAGGTTTTGTATTTTCAAAATAAAGTCCAACAGAAATTACCCATAACCTATAGTTAGAGTGATGACTGTGAGGAAGTATGAAAAATAAGTTATACTTCTTATTAAGAACCAATAAACCTACTGTTTAGTACTTTTAAGGGCATCTCTATAGATCTTAAAACAAGAAAAATAATGTATTACAAACATATGTCTACACACACACACAAACTTTGTAATTGTTTAAAAATATTTTGATGAACACGTTGGCATTAATATAGTAGGGACATGGTAAAAATCATAGACTGTATTTAAGTAAAAATCTTTATAGATTCAGCAACAAACGATGTGGGATAAAGTTTACACTAAAAAAATCATCAAAGGCAAAGTGTTTTTTCATCACATAAATTTAGGTTTGTTATATAGGCACAAAATATGCAAATGAATGATGGCTGTTGTAATGCTTTGTTTGCAAACATTACTGATATAAATAAGCAATTTACAACATCAGAAAACATAAATTTAGGCTTTTTATAAAGAGCAGGGCTGTCGCTGGGAATCTTGGGGGTTTTTAAGGGCGCTCTGATCGATCGGCCACCGATCATAATGGCCGATAATGGCTTTAACTAGACCGGTGGTCGCTAAAAGGGCGATAAGAAAAGCTGATCAGATGATACAATACAAATTTTCAGCGGCAGCTAAAATGTTTCACTACGCTGTCTGAGTGTTTTTCAAAGCTAGCTAGCACCAAAGTGAAAAACGGAGACCTTTTGCTATGTTTCCGCCTCCCGTCCAGATTAAAACGGTCAATGCAAAAAACAAAAGAAGCAAAAAGCCTGGTGTGGTTCTTGGTTTGTATTAATTTCACCGTCTTCTTCATGTTTACACTGGCACGCGCATGCCCAGTGTAGCCACCTGAACGGCCGCTAGATGTGTCGTTCTAATATTGACAGAGATCAACTCTGATACGCAGCTGAAACGCTGCTGTGGACGGAGAAGATCGTTTTCGTTTTAAAAACGTAGCAGTGTGGATGTAGCCTCACATTACCCCACTCCTCTCTCTACTCCTCTCATGTCAACCCTCCCGTTTTCCCCGAGATTCTCCCGTATTTTTAACCTTTATAAAGTCAAATAAAAATCTTCTGGCCGTATTTAAAGTGTTTGCTATTCTCTCCTCTGGTAAAGTCGGTGGCAGCATGTAAGATATGTAGACTGAGCTTCCTGCACAAGGATTAAAAATGAAAACAATCCACTGAAAGGCCTATAGCCTACTAATGGCAAACCATGTGAAATTATAATGAATATAGTTGCCTATGTAATATTAACAATTGACTGTATAATATGGAATTTACATTGTAGCCTATTTTATTTATTTCAATCTCTCTCAAGCAGCTACTTCAGAGTTTATATCCACTCATGATGCCTGAACTCCTTTATCTCCTAAATATTTTGGCTACAGCCTTTTTTGTTGCAGTTTTTATGGTTGTAGTAAATTTATAAAGATGCTGTTTGTTCAGTTTTTGTAGTTTATTCCACAGTAAAGCTATATTTCTTAAGCTATAAGATGTTCACAGTAACCAGGCAAAGGCTGCTATGATTTAAGTCTCCAACACAGATTGAGTGGAATTTGTTGCCCATGTTTCCTGGCAATAAAATGAACAGTTGTCATTTAATGATACTTTATCATCTGTTAACTTTAACACTTAATACATTGTTTTTAGGACCAATTAAATAAATATACTGTATAATGCTACATGATAATAAAAGGCTCCAAATAGACCCAGTGATCGGTATCGGCCGATGCTGCTTTCAGCAATCGGCCCACAAAACCATGACCGGAGCACCTCTAGGGGTTTTAATAACTTGAGCAGGACTTTACATTCAACAATTACATACATCATACATGGTGAGTTTTTAAGGCTCAACATTCGTAAATTGGATCGTTTTGAAGGCCAAAAAGAAACGAAAACGATTTTTGTATTTTTCCACCTAAAACCTATCGTGACATCAACAGTTAAATCAATTTATAAATGTGATGGAAAAAATACTAAGGTAGCGTTGTTATTGGTGATAAGTTAAAAACACATCAGGGTTGACTTTGAGGTGACCTCAGTATTTCTAAATTCGTTCATGGCTACAGCCCTGCATATGTTTTGTGCGTTTGACGGTTCAGGCATCTAAAATACGTCATTTAAAATAAAATCACTGCAATAAACTATAATCATTCTGTGTACTCAACACCTGGAGTTTTAATTTCATGTTAGTTTCCCCTCTCTTATAATTTGCATCCAGCTCCAGGACCTTTAAGTTGAAGGGTAAAACGCCGTACAGGAAAATGTGTTTCTGTAAATTTTGTCTGACTTGTCGCAGCTCCTTATGAATAAATTATGAGCAACATTTTTCTCACTCAGTAATTTGCACCATTTAAGTCTTAGAAATGTATTTAATTGGAGTTTATGATCCACAGAGAGTACAACACTTTTTGTCTATCTCTCTTATTTCTTCATTTTACAACTTGTTGACAATAAACCATCTCCTCTCTGCAGTTAGCTTGAGTAGCCTATAAAACTTTGCTCTGTGTCAAAAAACCACACAAGTTTGACCCGTTTTTTAAAAAGGTAATATGTCAAGCTTGAGTTAATGCTTCCAGAGTTAGACAGGTACTGGCTATTTTGACTCGATAGTAACAACCTGAAAAGTGTTTATTCAAAACAGAACTGCAGGACAGGTAAATCAACAAAATGCTCTGGACAGGATAAAGTTTTACAGCTTTGCAAAAGTCACTCTCAGATTCATTTCTTTAGCTTCAAGGCCACAGGTCGTCTGGTTTGATGAACACAGGGGATGTGACTCTGTGTGTGTTTGTGCTCTCAGAGGCGTCCACGCAGCAGGAACATGAGGAAGATTGCGCTGAGGAGGATGCAGAGCGTACACACTGTGGGAACCACAATCTCTGTTACCATCTCCATGTGGCCTATCAACGGATCTGAAAGACACAGATGGAAAAGTAAGTAAATGTCTCCACTTACAGTCCCAGCGTCAAACCCCTGTGAAGGGCCCCCATGGACCCTGGGCGGAAACATTAGGATTTATTTAAATTTTAATGTCTTCATTTAATTGCTGTTAATGACTTCTGTGTGTATTTGACTTTTAAACAATTAATTGACTATTTCTAATTTCTGAGGTTTTGTCCCTTGGACCCAGAGATTTGTTTCATTAGACCAAAAGAACAACGTTCGACTTATACTTGCTTATGTTATATGTCAAAACACATACACACACATCTGTTTATTTATATTAATATTAGATTTCATCACATGACAAAAAGTTGCTTGTTGTTAGCTAATTTTTACCAATACAATGTCCAACCCACATTGCAGAACTAACCCTCTTGGGGGCACAAATATTAACGACCCTCTCTCTCACTCACACATGTTAATGTGGGAATATGCAACATATTGTATATGTACAAAAATGTAATAATGAAGGTCTTAATATTCAGAACTCAAGACAAGGCCTCAAGATCAGGTAGTAAATATAGGACGTAGCCTAATATCCTTCATTTTCCTTTTCCTTTATGAACTAGGTAAACAACTATAAGAGTACACACATTATATTATACACACACACATGTTCATGTTTCATTTATTTATTTATTTTTTATATATTTTCTAACACACACACACACACACACACTTACCATTTTATTTATTTGTTTAATTAAAATTTTTAAATATATTTTTTTAACACACATACACACACGTTTACTGTTTAATTATTTATTTTATTTTTAATATATTTTTTTTAACAAACACACACACACTAACACACGCTTACTGTTTTTTTATTGATTTTTTTTAATATATTTTTTTAAACATGCACACACACACGCTTACTGTTTATTTATTTTATTTTTAATATATTTTTATTTTTTACAAAGACACACACAAACAAACACACACGCTTACAGTTTTATTTATTTTATTTTTAATATATTTTTATTTTTTACAAAGACACACACAAACAAACACACACGCTTACTGTTTTATTTATTTATTTATTTTTAATATTTTTTTTAACGCACACACACGCTTACTGTTTTATTTTTTTTATTTTTTTTTATATATTTTTATTTTTTAACGCACACACACGAACAAACACACACGCTTACTGTTTTATTTATTTATTTTCTTTTTAATATATTTTTATTTTTTAACACACACACACGCTTACTGTTTAATTTTTTATTTTATTTTTAATATATTTTTATTTTTTAACACACACACACGCTTACTGTTTTATTTATTTATTTTATTGAAATTTCTATATTTTATTTTTCTTTTTTTTTTTTTAAACACAAACACACATACACTTTGATTACTTTACGCTTTAATTGTTTAATGAAATGTATGGGGCTGATTGTTCTTATGTTGTGTTTATATATGATGCTTTGGCAATGTTGTTATTACATTCATGCCAATAAAGCTAATTTGAATTTATTCAGAATAGACAAGGACCCACTTATGTCAGCTAAGGTTTTACTTCTGTTGTGCAGACAAACAATTTACCATTTAATTCGCACAAACCACTTGACACACAGTCATTCCAAAGTTTTTAGGGCTCCTGGAGTTGAGAGGCCCTGCAACAGTTACCCACTTTGCCCAGTTGGTGCAGCAGCCTTACTAACCCCCAAAACAAGCCGGCTTTAAGTCTTTGAATTAGTCATTTGACCCCAAAAATTCTTATAGAATTTTTTTTAGTCAAACTGCTATTCAAGTTCAAGGACTGGAAACTGAGCTGACTAATAAAGCTATACGTTTCAATCCATAAGTCATTTGAAACATGTTCCTCATTGGAGAAATGTTAATGTTGCCACCGGTCTTTTCTAATCTGCAAAGTGACTAATAACTACAGCTGTGAGTTGTAGCAGTTGTAGCATAGCGTAAACACTCACTCTGATCTCACTCAGAAATGCATCAACTTTTGTACCTAAACTTCATCATGCACTGGCCAAGCCTTTTGCATTCCTGCATGTTCCTGATTTGCCTGGGATTTTCTTCTAGCTGGAGGGGCAAAACAAAGAAAAGCCCCGTTAGATAGCGGAACAACAAGCTTGAGACAGAATTTTCCTTTGTTTGGCCCCACCTAGCTTATCACAGCCGACACTTTTAATGCTTTATTGTACTAACCTGCAGCCAGGAGCTGGTTACTGGAGGAGCAAGTCTCCACGGCTTTCCTCTTCCAGCTTTCCACCTGAAAAGATCCAAGAAACTCTCAGCAGTTAAACCACATAATCTGCTCCAGAGGGATTTTTAACGCGGAGTAAGGTGTTAAGAGTTTACCTCTCTCTGATTGGGAAAGCCATTAGAGCTGATGATACGTTTATAGAACTGGACAGAGGCCTTCGGGTAGCGTGGTTTGTTTTTGCTCCTGAAGTCCACATAGTAGAGTCCGAACCTCTCAGAGTATCCTTCATCCCACTCAAAGTTGTCGAGGAGAGACCAGGCCGTGTAGCCCTTCACATTCACCCCGTCCTTAATCGCTGGTGAACCAGGGACAAAATAAAAAGGTAACACGTTTGGTTTTTGTCTCAGGGACCGTGGCAGCTTTTTTTAGTCGTATAAAATATGAAAAACAATCTCAAAGACTCAAATATGAACCAGGCAGTAAAATCTTTCTTTCTGGGATGTTATTTCTGTGTCCAGCAGAGTTTTTATACCTTTGAGCATTTCATTGATGTAGTCTTTGAAGTACTGCATCCTCCAGTCGTCACAGAGGTCGGTGCAGACCATTTTCTCTGACACACCGTTTTCTGTCACGTAAATCATGGGGTTTCCGTACTGAGTCTGTTGGAGTGACATCAAATCACATTCAGGATGGAGTGCATACTGATATATCCCTCTCATTATGTACTTACATGTACTCGTACAAAATATTTCAAGTTTCATAACCCTTATCTTTCTAACCGCGTCACACAAGTTATCACACGTGACATTTCTCTTCAGTGAGTTAGTTTTGACATTATGACTTCGCTTTCTTGCAGAGAGTTAAATGAGATGATGTTTTGGATGCGTCCGAAATCACCCTCTACTCACTGTATAGTGGACTATACAGTCCACTCAGTGTATCCCAGAATGCATTTTGAAAAGTAGTGTACAAACGATGATGACTAACCAAGCCCTATAAACCAACAAGCTTTGCGCTGATAGAAAAAACAATCCACCAACGGATTGTGTTTTAACGGTGCCGAAATAATGATCAGAGTAGTGTCCGAAGGTGTTGTTTTAATTATGCGGGTGATCTCACTATACAGTCCTCTACATACAACTCACTACCGAGCAGGGAGTAGTGAATGAGCTGGTGATTTCGGACACAGTCTTTATGCTAAGCTAAGCTAATCACCTCCTAGCTGTAGCCCCATACTTGCTGAATTATTTGTATTAGTTCACTTTGGATGGCTGTGAGAGCTCAGCTTCCATCAATTATATGCCATTTTTATAATAATTTGAGCGTGTTTGTATTAGTTTCACTTGCAGTACAAAAAACGATTCTATATCAGAAACACCTCATACAGCTGGATTTTATTCAGACTTGTGTCGTTTACCTTAACAAAGTTCAACAAGCGTCGGAAGCCCCAGGGAACAGAGTAGAGCCATTCAGAGCCGGGATCCGGCCATTGTGGGTCAACCAGCTCAGCAAGGTCGCGATCTGCAAAGTAGCTGTCTCCCAGGCCTGATGGGTAATTCTTCAGGGTGACGTAGCGAGTAGTGAAATGGCCGAGGCCCAGGAAGTCACAGGTTCCCTTGATGTAGCTCTTCTCCTGAGGCGAGAAGACCGGCAGCCGTGAAGCTCCCAGGCCCTGCTGGCCGCTCTTCCTGCCTGAAGGTGAAGGTTTAGTTTTAGTTTTATAACGAAACTAAAATGTCTGCAGACACATGAAGGTTGCATAAAGATATCCAAAGAAGGTTAAAATCAAGGGCAACTGGACACGGTCTTTACATTGGCTTCCTGTCTGTCAAAGAATTGATTTCAAAATCCTGCTGTTAGTTTATAAAGCACTAAATGGTTTAGGGCCAAAATACATTTCTGATCTTCTGCTTCGTTATGAACCATCCAGACCTCTCAGGTCGTCTGGGATCTGGTCTGGTTTCTGTCCCCAGAGTCAAAACTAAACAAGGAGAAGCAGCGTTCAGTTATTATGCTCCGTATATCTGGAACAAACTCCCAGATAACTGCAGGTCTGCTGAAACTGTCAGACTGAAGACTTTTCTTTTTAACATTGCTTTTAATTAAATATTTAAGACTTCTCTTTTTTTACCACCGTCTTTAACTAGTAGATTGATAACTTACACTGCACTGTAACTTTTACTGTCCTGTTTTCTTTTTCTTTGTTTTTAGATATTAACACTATTTAAAAAGTTTAGAGTGCTCTTTTGATTCCACCTTCTCCCACGGCTGATCCTCAGTTAACAGAGCCAAGTAGAATTACAAGGGTTAGAGTCCCTAGTTTTCTCTGCTGTTAACTTGTTGACAGGGCCCGCTGTCAACCGCTTTTACCAGAGTTTGTAGCACAAACAATCTGGATTTACAGCAACGACTGTATCTAAAGAAGGGTTAGAGTCCCCAAGTGTTAAAGGGTTAGAGTCCCCTTAGGGTTGGAGTCCCCTAAGGATTAGAGTGCCTCAGTAACTAAAGCGGGGATAGAGTGGGAGATGGGGAATCAAAGGAGTAAAATAAGCAAAGGTGGGAGACCTGCCTGTTTTTATTTTCTATTTAATTTTTAAAACTTTTTTATATTTCCCTGTTGCTGTTAAGCACTTTGAATTACCTTGTTGTTGAAATGTGCTATACAAATAAACTTGCCTTGCCTTGGTTGAAGATACTTGGAGACGTTTCGCCCCTCATCCATGAGACTTCTTCAGTTCTGAAATGACTAGTAGGGAAACCCAGCTATTTAACCTCTGAGGGGTTGTTGCCCAAGATGATCGATGCCGCTGGTTCGTTAGTGCTCCTGGCTGATGTGACGACGGTCGGTATGGTCGTCCAAGTCTGAACGACCATGGTGGTATCTTCAACCAAGTCCAGTTGCCCTTGACTTTAACCTTCTTTGGATAACTATGACCTGGATGACTGAGAACCTTCACAGACATCGTGCATAAAGATGGCACCTGTGACAGTTGATTTTTCATACCCAAAATGCAGTTACGCTCGTTATGATCAGGTCAGGCAAAGAGGGATTTTTTTCCCCCTTTATTTTGTTTAAAGAACAAAAAGCAAAGATTAGAGTAACATCTGAAGAAATAAATATAGTTTTGTGTAGTAAATGATAAAATCAATCGTGTTTATTGACCATTAAGATTTATCTTGATCAACCTGTAGGTAAGAAAACCACTAATGTTATGTTATGAATATATGGTGTTAGCAGTTAGCCTCATGGGACATTGCAGTATTCATGCTTTATATATCATGCTGATGTCATGTTACTTTCATGAATGTAATGCACCACCATTTTGTTTGATTCTCTATAGTTTTACTCCAACAGCAGGTGGAGCAAATGGGAGTCAAACTCACATTAGACGCTGAAAAAGTTCAGTGAAAAGTCATACGGAAGCCCAAAGAGGGTACTGGACATGTTGATCACGTGTACTCGCTTTGTTAACAACGTCCTCATCTTCATAAAGTTTCTGATCTCACACTTTTAAGAGTATAAGACTTTTTGTTGTGCAAGAATTTTGTTGTAATTGTTACAAATTTATCTATTATCTATTTATTTATTAAATATTAGGAAGAGAGATCACAAAATAAGTGTCTGACTGCAAATAAACAACACAAACTGTTTTCTTGAGACGGGGCGAATGGGTAGATCCTCAATTCTTCAACTTCCAATTCATTTGTTTTTCTTATCCGACTGTGACTAAAACCTTAATTCTACCTTCACCCAGACTGATTCAGGTTTGTGAACCTTCTCGTTCACTAAAATATAAGACGACTAGTCCTACTGTCCTACGCTTTGGACAGAAGTGGCTGCCAAATGAATAAATGTAAAATGACAGAAAAAACAACCCCTGGATTTCGACACAGCAAAGGTGTTTGGGGAAGGATTTTCCGACGCAGCTTGAAAATCACATTTTACATTTTTTTTTAAGTGACAGATTTTTCGGGTGAGGACAGTGCTTACATTGTTGTAAGTTATAATATAAACGGTTGCATTTGTCCGTGACGTACCGATATAATCTTTCATAACCTGGGGGTAGTCTCCGTTGAAGATGGGAGTGGCAAACCATCCCATGTAGAACTGGATGTATCTCTCTGCTGCCTCAATGTCCCTCTGGTTGGTGATGTCCACTGGTTCGCCCCAGTCAGCCGTTAGCGAGATCCCAACCAGGCCTGGAAACACACGGCAACTTTATTGTCCAGCATTACAGACGGTGTGTGTTACTTCAATCACATGAATAAAAACTACATTTTCTTTTCACCTTTTTGTTTGCTTCGCCACTGCATGTCATAGGTGTGCCAAACTTTAGCATGGGCCTGTTTCAAAGACAGAAAGGAAGTGTCACCTTGATGTTTGTTTATTACTTTAGTTTAGTTGACATTTTCAGAGGAAGGATATGAAATCACACATTGCTATAAAACTGTTAAAGCTGACTAACAAATAAATTATTGTGTCATTTTCGTGCACCGGCAGCCTTGGCACTTGTGTCAGGTGGAACGTACAACACAGTGTTATGGCACTTATTCTCAAAGGCTTCTCCTTAATCTACCATGTTATGGACTGCACCTCGTTTATATGTCACTTTGGGACAAATGTAAATATAGTACATAGTAGAATTACAAAGAGACGTGGTTGGCTGTCGCCTCCAACTTTATGCTAATCAGGTCATCATATTTAAGTTATACATGATATACATTAAGGTCATTATTTATATGTACTCTATAAATGATAAACATTATTTAAGAAATAGAAATGGGATAGGACCATATATATAATAAAATTTTAATTATTGAAAATTTTTACTGTTAATTTTATTGGTTATTCTTGTTTTTCTTTTGTACTTATCGGTTACAATTTCAAAATAAAATCAAATATAATCAGAATATTTGCCAGATAAATAAATATTATTCATTAATGTAATATTAATATTTAAAAACTAAATTCAGTCCATATAGTACAAAACCCAGAAATATTCAATTTATACAGATGTAAAACAGAAAATCCTCAAATTTAAAAAGATGGAAGCATCAAATGTTGGCCTTTTTGTGTGATGAATGACCGGTCAAATTGATAATTAGCAAATCATACATTAAAAAAACATCAAACATCCGCCGAGGAAGATCGTGTCATACAATAGAAAGCTTCAGAAGAGCTACTAAATGTTTTGCGATTGATTTGGGGCCAGTGTGGCTCGGGTTGTAATAGAGCATGACTGATACGGGTGATACAGATTTTGTTATTCGAGGATGTTAAAATCCGATATGTCTGCCGATTATTCTTTTTTTCCCCTTCTTTTCAAAAACACATAAAATAAACAAATATTATCCTTAACATTTGTTAGGTGTAGACGTTGGCAAAATAACGTGGCATAATGCAGTTTAATAAACTTTTATTGTTAGAAATAGCACTTTGCTGATCATGTCAGCTGATTGTTGTGTTTGGTGGATTTGTGGCAGGTGTTGCCAACAGGTAAGTTGCAGAGCACCCTCTGGTGGACAAACTATGCAACGACAACACTCATAACATGACTGAAGGATCCTCTTTCTATCTCTCTCTCTCCTTTTCTATTTTAATTGTCATTTATTGGCTGTTATAAACACAGGTACTAATTTATCTGCAATTAGCTCATTTCGGCCTCTAGTTTATCGGCTTCTAGTTTATCGGCCTCTAGTTAATTAGCCTCTAGTTAATTGGCCTCTAGTTAATTGGCCTCTAGTTTATCGGCCTCTAGTTAATTAGCCTCTAGTTAATTGGCCTCTAATTAATAGGCCTGTAGTTTATCTGCGTCTTATTAATTAGCCTCTAGTTAATCGGCCTCTAGTTAATTAGCCTCTAGTTAATTGGCATCTAATTAATAGGCCTATAGTTTATCGGCGTCTTGTTAATTAGCCTGTAGTTAATTGGCCTCTAATTAATAGGCCTGTAGTTTATCTGCGTCTTATTAATTAGCCTCTAGTTAATCGGCCTCTAGTTAATTAGCCTCTAGTTAATTGGCATCTAATTAATAGGCCTATAGTTTATCGGCGTCTTGTTAATTAGCCTGTAGTTAATTGGCCTCTAATTAATAGGCCTGTAGTTTATCGGCGTCTTGTTAATTAGCCTCTAGTTAATCGGCCTCTAGTTTATCGGCCTCTAGTTTATCGGCCTCTAGTTTATCGGGCTCTAGTTTATCGGGCTCTAGTTAATCGGCCTCTAGTTTATCGGGCTCTAGTTAATCGGCCTCTAGTTTATCGGCCTCTAGTTAATCGGCCTCTAGTTTATCGGCCTCTAGTTAGTTAATCGGCCTCTAGTTTATCGGCCTCTAGTTTATCGGCCTCTAGTTTATCGGCCTCTAGTTAGTTAATCGGCCTCTAGTTAATCGGCCTCTAGTTTATCGGCCTCTAGTTAGTTAATCGGCCTCTAGTTTATCGGCCTCTAGTTAGTTAATCGGCCTCTAGTTAATCGGCCTCTAGTTAATCGGCCTCTAGTTTATCGGCCTCTAGTTTATCGGCCTCTAGTTAGTTTATCGGCCTCTAGTTAATCGGCCTCTAGTTAGTTAATCGGCCTCTAGTTTATCGGCCTCTAGTTAATCGGCCTCTAGTTAGTTAATCGGCCTCTAGTTAATCGGCCTCTAGTTAGTTAATCGGCCTCTAGTTTATCGGCCTCTAGTTAGTTAATCGGCCTCTAGTTAATCGGCCTCTAGTTAGTTAATCGGCCTCCAGTTAATCGGCCTCTAGTTAGTTAATCGGCCTCTAGTTAATCGGCCTCTAGTTAGTTAATCGGCCTCTAGTTAATCGGCCTCTAGTTTATCGGCCTCTAGTTAGTTAATCGGCCTCTAGTTTATCGGCCTCTAGTTTATCGGCCTCTAGTTAGTTAATCGGCCTCTAGTTAGTTAATCGGCCTCTAGTTAATCGGCCTCTAGTTAGTTAATCGGCCTCTAGTTAATCGGCCTCTAGTTAGTTAATCGGCCTCTAGTTTATCGGCCTCTAGTTAGTTAATCGGCCTCTAGTTAATCGGCCTCTAGTTAATCGGCCTCTAGTTAGTTTATCGGTCTCTAGTTTATCGGGCCTCTAGTTAATCGGCCTCTAGTTAGTTAATCGGCCTCTAGTTTATCGGCCTCTAGTTAGTTTATCGGCCTCTAGTTTATCGGCCTCTAGTTAATCGGCCTCTAGTTAGTTAATCGGCCTCTAGTTTATCGGCCTCTAGTTAATCGGCCTCTAGTTAGTTAATCGGCCTCTAGTTAATCGGCCTCTAGTTAGTTAATCGGCCTCTAGTTTATCGGCCTCTAGTTAGTTAATCGGCCTCTAGTTAATCGGCCTCTAGTTAGTTAATCGGCCTCTAGTTTATCGGCCTCTAGTTAGTTAATCGGCCTCTAGTTTATCGGCCTCTAGTTAATCGGCCTCTAGTTAGTTAATCGGCCTCTAGTTTATCGGCCTCTAGTTAGTTAATCGGCCTCTAGTTAATCGGCCTCTAGTTAGTTAATCGGCCTCTAGTTAATCGGCCTCTAGTTAGTTAATCGGCCTCTAGTTTATCGGCCTCTAGTTAGTTAATCGGCCTCTAGTTAATCGGCCTCTAGTTAGTTAATCGGCCTCTAGTTTATCGGCCTCTAGTTAGTTAATCGGCCTCTAGTTAGTTAATCGGCCTCTAGTTAGTTAATCGGCCTCTAGTTAGTTAATCGGCCTCCAGTTAATCGGCCTCTAGTTTATCGGCCTCTAGTTAGTTAATCGGCCTCTAGTTTATCGGCCTCTAGTTAATCGGCCTCTAGTTAGTTTATCGGTCTCTAGTTTATCGGGCCTCTAGTTAATCGGCCTCTAGTTTATCGGCCTCTAGTTAGTTAATCGGCCTCTAGTTTATCGGCCTCTAGTTAATCGGCCTCTAGTTAGTTAATCGGCCTCTAGTTAATCGGCCTCTAGTTAGTTAATCGGCCTCTAGTTTATCGGCCTCTAGTTAGTTAATCGGCCTCTAGTTTATCGGCCTCTAGTTAGTTAATCGGCCTCTAGTTAATCGGCCTCTAGTTAATTAATCGGCCTCCAGTTAATCGGCCTCTAGTTAGTTAATCGGCCTCTAGTTAGTTAATCGGCCTCCAGTTAGTTTATCGGTCTCTAGTTTATCGGGCCTCTAGTTAATCGGCCTCTAGTTAGTTAATCGGCCTCTAGTTTATCGGCCTCTAGTTAGTTAATCGGCCTCCAGTTAGTTTATCGGTCTCTAGTTTATCGGGCCTCTAGTTAATCGGCCTCTAGTTAGTTAATCGGCCTCTAGTTTATCGGCCTCTAGTTAGTTAATCGGCCTCTAGTTAGTTTATCGGTCTCTAGTTTATCGGGCCTCTAGTTAATCGGCCTCTAGTTAGTTAATCGGCCTCTAGTTAGTTTATCGGTCTCTAGTTTATCGGGCCTCTAGTTAATCGGCCTCTAGTTAGTTAATCGGCCTCTAGTTTATCGGCCTCTAGTTAGTTAATCGGCCTCTAGTTTATCGGCCTCTAGTTAGTTAATCGGCCTCCAGTTAATCGGCCTCTAGTTAGTTAATCGGCCTCTAGTTAGTTAATCGGCCTCTAGTTTATCGGCCTCTAGTTAGTTAATCGGCCTCCAGTTAATCGGCCTCTAGTTAGTTAATCGGCCTCTAGTTAGTTAATCGGCCTCTAGTTTATCGGCCTCTAGTTAGTTAATCGGCCTCTAGTTAATCGGCCTCTAGTTAGTTAATCGGCCTCCAGTTAATCGGCCTCTAGTTAGTTAATCGGCCTCTAGTTAGTTAATCGGCCTCTAGTTTATCGGCCTCTAGTTAGTTAATCGGCCTCCAGTTTATCGGCCTCTAGTTAGTTAATCGGCCTCTAGTTTATCGGCCTCTAGTTTATCGGCCTCTAGTTAGTTAATCGGCCTCCAGTTAATCATCCTCTAGTTAATCGGCCTCCAGTTAATCGGCCTCTAGTTAGTTAATCGGCCTCTAGTTTATCGGGCTCTAGCTCGTAATCCGCTCGCACACTGCAGGTCTCCAATGTTCACATGTCAGCTGTTCGTTTGTTTATTTCATGATTTGCTCACTTTCTGCTCAGCATCTGCCCTCTTTTGGTTTGGATGTGCGTGCATCGGTTTGTAATCCGGCCTCGGCTCAGACAGATCAACACCAAACTGGACCGCCATCTCTTACCTTGATGATGTGGTGGGCAGCTTTGTAAGCTCCCGTTCCCTTCAGCTTCACTCCGGGTGCATGTTCCCCTGTTTCATATCCCTCCACAGCTATGGACTGAAAACACAAGACAACACTCTCTGATATCCAAGTCAAACATTACATCTGTTCACAACACAGTGAATGCACCGTTTCTCCTGACATACCCAAGGATTGTTGAAAGTGATCCAGTACTTCACTCTGTTTCCAAATCTTTCAAAGCACAAGTTGGCAAAGTCGTTGAAGTAGTTCACCATGCTGACGTTCTGCCAGCCACCGTACTTCTCCTGTAAGACCTGAGGAGTAAAACCGTATTAGTAGCCACACCTTTTCAATTTCAAAACAAAAGGGTTAGTGCTCACCTGAGGTAAATCCCAGTGGTACAAAGTAACAATGGGTGTGATCTTATTGTCCAGCAGCATGTTAATCAGGTCATCATAGTATTTGATTCCTTTCTCGTTGATGTGTTCACCTGAGGGAGAATTAATATCAATATTCACTAGCATGAAACATAACTTCTTTACAATTAGGGCTTCGTCTAATGATTATTTGTTTTTAACTGGGGTAGCTGCGGCTCAAGAGGTAAAGCGGGTTCCACTAATCGGATGATCGGCGTTTCAATCCTCCGGCTCCTCCGGTCTGCACGTCAAAGTGTCCTTGGGCAAAATACTGAACCCCAAATTGCTACGGATGCTGTTTAATTGGTGTGTGAGATGTAATTTCTGCATCAGCCTACGAATGTGTGTGAATGGGTGAATGTGACGTAGTTTAAAAAGCGCTTTGAGTGGTCGTAAGACTGGAAAGGCGCTCTACAAGTACAGACCATTTACCATTACATTTGAATTGTGGATTAATCTGTTTTTATAGGTCTATTTAAAATGTCAAAATCATCTTCATATTGCTTGTTTTGTTGGACCAACAGACCAAAACCCAAAAAGATTTAACAAATAATAATATAGAACAGAGAAAAGCAGCAAATCCTTACATTTCAAAAGCTGGAAGCAGCAAATGAAAATTAATGTCAGCTTATTTTCTGGTGACTTCACTTAGTAATCAATTTCCGCAAATAAAAATAGTAAATAATAGAATAAAATATAGAAAAGAATGAATAAAAATATAGAAATACTTTTCAGTCCACTTGGTAAAATCCTTGGCCAGGAGATGGAGAAACGATAATGGTTCAGCTTCATGTCTTTCATCAAGCTAATATCATCCTTAAAAACAAATCAGAAAATATTTTCACAGCAGGTAAAGACGAAATGGAAAAGATCAATGCTGGTTCTGGTTTTTAAAGATGTTAGTTTGCTTTCCTGCCGCTATGTAGGCTGTAATTCTCACTAACAGATGCTCCTGTAATTAAAGCTCATCTTTTTCCCGGAGATCTACTGATTATAAACACCAGTTCATGTGTTCACGTTATTACTGTTAACCTCACAGAACCTTCGAGCAGAGAGATCAGTCAGTACAATCTCATGCTCTGCAGCTGAAAGAACTTTACCTTAAGGTGTACTTTGACATTTTGACAAATATATGCTTGTTAGAGTTAAATTAGAACTTTAATTCTACTCTGGAACCAGGAGGTGATTAGCTTAGCTTAGCATAAAGACTGGAAACAGGGGGAAACAGCTAGCCTGACTCTCTGCAAAGCTGAAAAAAAGCTGCCTGCCTGCTCGTTTGTTTAGGCTTGCTTAAGAGCTTCTGGAAGTCAAATTTTTCTTACTTTTAGACAGACCAGGCTAGCTGTTTATTCCTCTTTCCAGTCTTTATGGCTGTAGCTTCATATGCATCGTACAAAGACTGGTATCAAACTTCTCAAGTAACTCTCAGTAAGAAAGAGAATAAGTATACTTCCCAAAATGTTGAACCTTCTAAATTCGAGTGGAGATCCAGATACCAAAGATACCAAAATGTCTGTAAAATGATGCGAAAGACATCTAGAATATTTCCATTTGAGGGAATGGTGTAGCCATAAAAACATGGATTTGAATCTTTGGATCTTGGATTCGAATATCTCACTCAGTGTAAACATCATATAGCTTCAATCAAGCGCTGTAATGGGGCCATACAGAATACGGTCAGTGTGGAGAAAGATGATTGTTCTAACCCTAAATTTACTACATTTAAACTAAGTTAATGTTTAATTGAACTCAGTAAAACATTTCTTAATTTCAGATGCAACATTTTCTTCTGCATGTCACCTTGAATTTGTAGTAGCCCTCACACGAGGAGTCTCCCGTGTCATTTGAGAATATTTTCCCCTTTTTGTGGGCAAATGCATCCCAGATGCTCATTCCTTTTCCGTCTATGTTCCAAGCTCCTTCAGTCTGATAGGCAGAAGTTCCAGCTCCCCAGGAGAAACCTGCAGAGGAAACCAAAGCAAACAGTACATGTCAACACCTTGTCAGTGACTTTGGTAGTTTGTGAAACTATTTTGTGTTTAATCATATGTCATACCAGTTGGGAAGGTGCCATAATAGAAAGACGTTCTCTCGTTCTTCGTCCAGTCAAAGTCCTCACTGGCTGACACACACAGCACCAGTGCAAGCACATGGTACGGCCTCAGGGTGCACCACTGCAGCATCGTGATCTTCGGCAAGCAGCTCACTGTCTTCGGTTACTAAAGGAAAGTAAAAACCCAGTTTGAATCTCACAGCTATCATGACGTACGTGCTAATGTTAATGTGTAGGCATCCGAAACCTGTCAAAACAGCTGCAAGGCTGCATCTCCTGTTAGTCTACCCTGAGCCAGACAAGTGGAGGACAGATACACAGATATGTTGAAGTAAAAGATTCAGAAACTCACGCACTCACGTGTCAGGTGTCCACAGGTTTTGAGTAAAACCATTCTAACTCAAACCCCAAACCTCAGGATCGTTTGTTAAATTTCCAGTGAAAAAAAGAGCCGGTCATTATCGGACCTCGTGGATATAAAGAAATAATCTAGTTTCATTTCAGCCAGCTGTAAGACACGCTGACACAAAATGCTATCAGAGACAGAAAGTAAGCCAGCTTGTCAAGCACAGTCAGGATGAGCGACATTTCAAGGGGTTGTTTATCTTCAGTGGTGCAAAAGATGACCAAGATTAAAAAAAATAAGTGAGTGAAAATGATAAAGTTGCCTGAGAGTCCTCCTGCCAAAGCCTGTGCTGTTTCCCTCCCTACATCTGTCCCTTTGCTCAGTGTCTGTCTCAGAACCACATATAGATGTCTGACCTGCTGCACGTCCTGCATTTGTCTCCGCTGGAAACTGCTCCAAAATACGAGAAACGTCCCCAAGCTTCTGGACCTAGTCGACGTTCCCCAGTGTCACTGAAAGGTTCACTGCCAATGTCACAAAAACAAAACAGAGTGAAGCATCCAGGACATTTTCTGCTATTCATCAGCCCACATACAGCAACAAGCACCCCCCCCACACACACACAGTGAATACCGCTCCATTTGAAGTCAGTGAAGTGTGAGCGTGAATTTGCTGGGGCAAACAGATCTTTTGGAAAAAGGAGGGATTTTGACACTGTAAGCAAAGTTATCGTTAGAAAGCCCGATGCATGTGCAGCTCGGTCTCAGAGCATTTCATGGCTTTAAAACATAACACAAAATATCGTCACTGAAGGCGCACGCGTGGGTCTAGTTAACAGTAAAAAGCAAGTCGAAATCAAAAGATGAAGCATACTAGAAACAGGTGCATCAGTATTTACAGTTTATTCTCAATCTTATCATCCTGTATTTGTATCAAGCAAAGCGGCGGCCTTCACATACGCAATAACAGAAACATCTATACGGTGTCACGTAATCCAGTAGTCCTGCAAATATGTACTACATCATGTGAAGTTCCACATGTAGATTTTGTCTTTTGAGTTCAGTATGTGGTTCAGTTTGCATAATATTTGTCCCCAAGAGTGGACGAAGGTGCAAGAATAAAATGTCAAAATATGTATTTCAAAATCAGCTGGTGGTTTGAAGTCACTGCCTGCACCTACATACTGTATGTGCATATAATTAGGCATTCATCTACCATGAAAACAAGTTCAGAAACAACACTGCGCACTGAATTCAGTTTCAGTGTCTTAACAGAAGCCCTATAATATAATACATTACTATATAATGAGTGCATTTGCATTAAAATAGCATTACTGGATTTACATACCGTGAACAAGCTCTCTAAAGAAGATGTACACAGTATACAAGGTATTCAGTCATGCTACACCCAGTTACATACAGTCTTAAATACAGGGATAAATAGATTTGAATATATAGAACAGAGAGTGGGTTAGTGGCTAGCTGTCCTCCACTCGCATTTTATGGCTTTGTATGTCTCGTATTATGAGCCTCTGTGTTTTAACAAGTACCTGATATTGTACTATAATGGTGTCCTATGTGAAGTTAATGTTGTCAATAACTGAGTGACTCTGTAGCATCTGTCCACGACTGCAAATATAACGTAACTCTAACTCATTAACAGCAATGTTTGTTGATGTGCACTGAGGATAAAAGCTGTCATATATCGTTCACCTCTTGGTAGCAGGGTTGTCTCTGATAACGGCTCGCGCTCTTTTCCTGCACCTGACCTGATATACTGTGAATCTCATCCAGGTGTGGCTGACTGGAGGCCAACTGAACATTTTTACTTTTGGTACCAAACTGCACTATTAAACTTCCTGTGAGAACACAACTCGCATAATATAAAATAATGGCAATGGAGCAAGACGCTTAACCCCTCGTTGCTCCAGAGGCGTGCGACCTCTGACATGTATAGCAATTGTAAGTCGCTTTGGATAAAAGCGTCAGCTAATGAGTAAATGTAAATTAACTGATTATAATAGAAGCTACATATCATATATGAAGGAGTAGGAAACAACACAAGAGATTTAAAAACTTCACTTCACAGGCCCCGCAGATATGACAACAGCTTCATCCTTTTTTATTAAAAACATTTTCTAATATGAAGAAATTGTACAGAATTATTTTATTACACCTTACATACGTTTATTTACTTTATATTGTAATTCTATTACTGATACTGATATCTACTCTGTACACCCTGGAGGAGGAATTCATCCTTTATAGCTCTTTCATTTCCAACTCCAAACTGAAGTCTAAGTGCGTCGCATATTGTTCAGATTGTAAAGCCCGAGAGACGACTTAGTGATTTCAGGCTGTATAAATAAAATGGCCTTGATTTGACTATCAAAGAACATTTAATGAAACAATATGTCGGATATGTAAATGATGTTTACATCACATCACTAAGATTTAAATTGAAACAAGACCCCTGAACCATCAGGTGCTGGTCACCAGTTACACAAATCTGCAGCAGTGGAAATGTCTGAAGACTCATTGACAGCCCCCCCCCCCTGCAGAGTCAGTGCAGCCCTCCTCTGGGTCGTGACCTCTTCAGTGAATACAGTGAGCTGGAGCTGGCCGCGCACAAAGCATGAATACAACCATTATCACAGGGTGCATTGTTTACAGAGCAAAAAAAAGAAAAAATGCTGAATTGTTCAAAGCCAAAACTGTTGGCACTGCACTCTCACATTTACATGTCAGTGTGCAGTTTGTGTACAGAAGCTCTGTTCTCTCTGCTTGTTGTGTTTGTATATCTGCAGGCACACATCAATTTCAAATGCTCTGCGTGTATGTTTTTTTTTGTGCTCCGCATGCGGTTGCAGTGTTCGCGGCTGATGATGTGTATGTGTGAACAGAGAAGACAACATGACCATGGTTGTGTGTTTAGCATATCAATGGCGCCCAGGGCCCCGACGACCGTTGCAGAACCACTCTGAGCTTTCTAGTACCGCTCGGCTCACCTCAACTTGCTGTATTTAAGGGGCTTTCTTGTTGCCTCACAGAGCTGACATGAACATCTTTACTAAGGTCCCAGGATTAGCCCAACAAACCAGGTATGTTGAGAGCACCGTGCACCAGCTGGGGCCCACAGAGTGTCGAGGTGGGTGGGCCAGTGGTGCCTCCACATCCCACCTCCTGCTGGTTCTCATGCTCTGTGATTCCGCCACCACCAGTTTCCCAAAATCACCTGAAGAGTGATGGCTCGTTGTAGGAGACACACACACATACTGTACATTTTAGGTGCAAGTCGACGGTTTTAATCGGAAAGACTGAAGCACAGCAATACTTTTAAATCAGCGTGAGTCGTAATCTGTAACAGTTGGGAATAGAAATGAAAACAGGCTCTAAAAAAAAATGTTTGTTGACCAAAATGACACAAGAGATGACATTTTCAGTGGTTTCATTTCCACACACCATCATTAGTTTCTTTGTGACTGTGACTTTAATTTTTGAGCGGTTTGTTTGGGGTATAATTATTCATTAAAATGCTTCTAATATCTACAGCAAGCTGGGGTCTGTGCTCCAACGTGCCTTCTACGGGTCCAGTGGGAGGGTGAGTCAAGTGGCGTTTCCATATTGATGTGGTTTTAAACCTACGGTATTGAATTGTGAGTGTGTATCAACATACTTCATCATTTTTCCTGCGGTATCTCTGCCCTCAGGTGACCCTTTTCGAGCAGCGGAACTTCGCCGGCAGGCGGCTGGACCTGAGTTCTGACTGTGTCAGGCTCAGTGACAAGAACTTCCCAGAAAGATGTAACTCTGTGCAGGTGGAGGGCGGAGCGTAAGTCTTACACCACCGCCTAGAGTCGACAACAGGTCACTGCAGCACACACAGGCTTACAATAGAGACAAGGGAAAGAGGAGATGAAGTTAACAGCAAAGTATCTGAAGCCTTCTCGTCACCTTTCTGTGGACTTCAATAATATTTTTTCATAATTTTATCAAACTTCAGGGAACTCCAAGAGTTTAAAAGTAAATGTAGTTAATTATACCAGATACCTAAAACCCAGTGGTCCAGACGGTAATCAACAAATATGTATTTGTATTTGAATTCCAGCAGAAGAGTTTTGTCAATCTGTGTTTGAGCAAAATTAAATATATCATTAATTAATTTCAATTAATAGCGCAGGCTTTTAATTGCTTCAATCGCTGAACTTACTATCCCTATATTTGGAATATGACATGTGACAGTTAATTCATTTCACACAAAACTCTTGCTCAGCAAAGACGGGAAATAGGCTACTATCAAATTGTTTATTTTGACCAGCGTGAATATTACTTTTAGAAAAATTACCATACAGAAAATCTGAATTGTAAAATTAATTGAACGATTAAATTGTGGAGAATCTAACGGATGTACGGCGTGTTGAATGTCTAAGCAGCTTGGAGCAGCAAGCGACCTGGTTGGCGTTCAGAGGTTTTATAAATCCAAAGAACTTATAATATTATAATGTACTACAAAAAACAGACCAGGCTTCTAATTGAGACCTGCGGTTATTTGTCAAAACGTGTTGCCACACCAGTAAAAGGGGACAGGAGTCTAATTGGGACTAAGCTTTAAATTGAAGTTTGGTGGACGGATGAGCCTTGGACCAAGAAAACATAGAGATCTTAAACTGTGGTTTTAACAATAAGACAATTAGTCTTAGGAAATGAATCCAAATCTAGTCTGTATTCAGTTAAAAAGCAGGTGAAATTAAAATTTTTGTTTTTATCTTCGCCTGAAAGAGAAAAAAAAGATATATAAAATAACACACACACAACTGCGTGTTTTTTAAAATGTCTGGGATACATGTAACCACATATGTAAACATGTAGTTAGGACCTAGTTCGCAGCAAAATCTAGTCACTGAAATGCTGTTGAAACGACGAGTCATATGTAGCCCTGATATACATTTTGATTAACACATTTGTACGACAACTCATCATATCATGGACAGTTATAATGGTCTAATTGTTGAAATTCAAATTTCGAATCATCACAATTTGTTCTGTCTACCAAACGTAATGGAGTCCGGTTTATATTTTATTCTGCTCAGAGACAGATCTACCTTAAGGCCTGCAGGTTGTGTAAACTTTTGACAGCAACACTGTTCAGCATTTTTCTGCTAGTATGTTTTTTTGTTTTTTTTTGTCATGCTGCTGCTGTGTGCATGCGTCTTTGACTTTTCTTTCTCTTCTTCTTCTTCGCTCTTGCACAGATGGATCGGTTACGAGCACGAGAACTTCCGGGGCCGTCAGTACCTGTGGGACATGTCCGAACGGGGAGAGTACAGCTGCTACGACAAGTGGTGCGCTCAGCTGGACCACGTGTCCTCTGTCCGCGCTGTCAAACAGGTGACACATGAAGCTGGCAAAAAACACAACAACATACAGCCATTACAGGTGCAGACAAACAGATCTGTATAAACCGTGTGAATACTGTGGGTCTTGGTTTTAGCCTCTAAAGTCACACCTGCTTCATCAGTAACAGCTATCTGACTTAAACAAATCTCAAAGCATATATTTAAATCTACAAACCAGGTAGAGACAGTTGTTGTAGGTTTGTTAGTAAAGTCTGCCCACAACACTGGAGTTAAGCACACACGCGGCGTGTCAATAAAATGCATGTTGGGTACCTAAAGTGTTAAAAAAAGGGAGTCAGAAATAAAATAATTTAACTGCTAAATACTTAATCAGTAGTTACATTGTGAAGTCATTATAAAATAAAGAAAAAAAATTATTAGTTTTTATTTTACATTTCTGTTGTTTTTGGGGAGAAAAACATTAGGCTGGGAAGAAGAGAGTGCCTTTATAGCTATATAAATGTTTACCTTTTTTTAAATAACTATAGCAAAAGTTTAGTTTTAGCATCCAGTGAGGATCCATCTGATGTGTGAAAGTGTCACATGTAGGCTTTTAGTTCTAGCTTCCCCCAACTGTCCCTGTACTTCTTTCCTTCTACCTATAGCTACCAAGTACTTCATTGGAACCCCGCATGTACAAAATGTGTACGCTGTAATTTGCGAGCTGTATTGGAAAGTGTCACAGCGTTAAATCAGATTAGCAAGAATCCGACAGAATTTACACAGAGCTGTGCACTTTGGGAAATAATAAACTAGACATATAGCTGTATTTCCCCAAAACACCTACTACATGCATTTGAGATGAAACTTATTTTATATGGTAAACAATATAAGGTAAAACTGCACAATGATCTTAGACTCCAGAGGAATAATTAAGGAGTTTGGTGTGAACGTATTCTGTTCTGCAAAGAATCAGAATACCTCTGCAGTACCTGATGGCCAATTATTGTTCAGAAACATTCAAGCATTCCCCCACTAGCAGTTTTTCTGTATATTCCTGGTGTTTTCAGGACAACAACCCTGCCAGAGCTCAGCTGTTTGAGCGAGGCAGTTTCTCTGGTAAGAAGATGGAGATCCAGGATGACATCCCCAACCTGATGAGCCGGTACAACCTCAACAGAGTCGCCTCCATCCGCGTGCTCGGAGGAGCGTAAGTGCAACATCTGTCGACACATTATCAATCAGGTGTATGTACATCGTGGCGTCCTCAAGTGCAGCGTGCAATATGTTCGTGGTTGTTATGCAGGCGAGAACAATTTGTACATCTTTTGGGTAAGTCTGAGTAAAGTCTCAAACAATCTCACCACAAGGTCCGTTTATTGGCTGTCCTGGAGTTTTCAATCACATGATCCTCCTCTTCCTCAGAATTTAGTTTGCTCACATCTCATTGAATTGTAATGTTTAAATTTCACTGTTAAGACGTTTTGTCTGTATTGACTTCAAAGCTAAAAGGTTATTCTTGGTTGGCAGAATACAGTATAACACAATCTGCTGATAGAGACTGAGATATGACCAAAGGCTCCAGCACAGCTACTAAATGAACCTTGTGGTGAGATCGATTTCTCACAAGCAGTTTCCAAAGTCAAAAATTAACTTCGACTTTTCAAATTGATCAGGTTTCAATCTTAGAGCTGACCATTAAAATCATAGCATTTGACTTTTTCCTGAATTTTTAGTCCCAGTAACTAGATATCCACGTCAGTTTTATTTCATTGCTCCAGGATTTTACCAGGTCATAAGTTAATTAGTAAGTTAGGCAAATAATTAGTCTGAGTGAATATATATTTATAGGAGATTGACTTGATTTAATAAAAGTGCTTATTGCCACAGCCAAGTTATGTTTTAAATGTCTGAGCCACTTACACTGACCATATATGGTAGAACACAGCTAGAACATTTGACAACATTAAGCGTTGCATTTTCCTTAAGTCGACCGGCTGTCAGTTTGTGTGACTAAATTCTGACTTGAGCCTCCATGATTCAGTCAAAGCTATTAAAAAAAAAAAAAAACACACACTCAGACACTGCTGTGATCAAATAGCAGCCTTTGGAATAGTAGTCACTGATCTAACCCCCCCCCCCCCCCCATGTTTGTTGTGTGCAGATGGGTGGTCTATCAGGAGCCAAACTACAGAGGGCCTCATTATGTCCTGGAGAAGCGTGATTACAACAACTTCTCTGACTGGGGCAGTCAGAGCAACACCGTGGGCTCCATGCGCAGAGTCCGCTTCAACTAAACGCCATCGCCGAAGTCCTGCCAACACGAAGCCTGTCAGCCGAACACTTTGTAATAAACTGTAAAAAGACAACATTTGTATTTTTCCCCCCCTTCTTGAGTCGTCTCATCAGTAAAAATGTTCTGAACCCGAGTGCACCAGCTCATTAATAGAAAGTGTTTTAAAAGTTCAAAACTTGTGGATTTAAGGATAACTGGCCCAATCAAATCCAGGTCCCAAAATAATGCCGCAGACCATTAACATTCTTGTTGGTAACAGATGGAGTTAAGAATTTGCAAGGTAAACATTTTATTTCACTTTTTGAACAAAGTCCAAGGCCATAAAATGAAATGTGGACACATTAAAATGCATAGAGTGTGAGACCCTTACAGAGATAATGTTGCCAAAAAATTAAAAGCCCACAACTTTACAACACAACAACGGCGCTTAGTATGAGGTAGACCAATGCTCAGGTCAGCCCGTTTTGTTATGAAGAAATGTCTTTCAAGTTATTGCAAACAGCCTCTGATTGGAAGCTGTGCAATGTCTCATCTCAGGCTTGATGGGCAGTTCAAGGTGCACTGGAGGAAAATCTGTACTACGGGGGGGGGGGGGACTGAATCACAAAGCTTAGAGAAATTTAAAAAAAAAAAGTTTATTAAAACCTAGTTAAATTTGTCGCAGTGATAAAAATATAAAGTGCAAATCAAATGTCCCGATGAAATGTGGAAGTTCCACCTCAAGGATTGTTGAGCAGAGCAGCGCATGTTCTTGATGATGGAGGACCTCAGCTGAGGGAGGAGGCTGATCTTCATCAGCTTGCTGCTCGAGTATTTATTCTTGACGGCCTGTAGAGGAACGCCACATTTAGGGGCAGTTGTGCTCAACACAAACACAAGTTCTGCTTTGTCAGCCAACTCACCTGGAACTTTGTTTTCCGTCATTTACAGTCACAACATTTTTGGCGATGTGCTGCATGATTGGCTTCAGGTGGGCCTCGTCATAAGTCGAGTAGTGCTGCTGTGTAGGAGACTGAAAAGGCCGATCGTTACACGACTTG